CGTGAAGCAAAATGAGATCAATAGGCAATGATATTATGTTGTGCAAGGCGTGTTAAGTTTACCAGCTGACACACACACACAGTCTCACTGGAGTTAATGTATAGATTGAGGCATTGGCATTTGAGCCACATTTTTAAATGTAGACTAAGAAATGCTTATCCAGACAGCCAGTTTTCATGGTATGTAACATGCTTCCCATCCACAAGCTGAGGAATGAATGAGGACCACATACTTACACACCCAGATGCACGCACACACACACACACACACACACACACACACACAAACAAACACTAATCTAAACAGATGCACACAGTTTTCAAATGAAAAACACATAAGAACTAGTTTAACTATCAATTAATTATGTAATCATTCCTTAAGTTGGGAACACATGTTTTTCAAATGTGTAGCTGTGGGAGACCCCACACATGAAGAATGCCTCATCAGTTTTGTCATCATTGTATCTCATTCAAGTGGTGGCACCACGTTACACAATAACAACATTTTAGACTGACCTCAGAACAATCACTCAAACTTTTCTTTGGATTATTTTGAGCAGCCACTTGTTGCAGAATTCTTCCACCACATGTTTGTGCTTACCATCAGACATTCATGAGAATAAAAAAGGGTGGAGAACATAATCTGACTGTGTAAAGGGCTGAATGAGTACTAGAGAGAGCGTTTGTGCAATTTGCCAGTCTCAGCATTATCATCATCATATCGTAAAAGTATTGAATAATTAAAATCAGGGTCTGATTGGCTCAGGAAGGTTTAGGATTGACTCTCAGACTCACACACTACAAACATGCTATTGGCACATATGTAATTTGGTACGTTTAAGGTAGCAATAAACCAATAATAGAGGAGAAAAAGAAGAATCCGACCCCACTTTAACAATTTTCTTTCATTATTTTGTCATCTTTTCTAGGCCTAAATTATGTGTGCAATGTGTTCTAGTATGTTCGATGTACAAAAAACTGTTTGTTTACAGTGAGAAAGCAAAAGGGTACTTTTAACATATTGTGAGTGAAGTTTAAAAATGAAACACACCAGTATTTCCTTTTTTTGCAAGACGCTGTCAGTATGCATGTGTCAGCCATGAAGCCAGCGATGTCCGATGGAGGAGGGGGAACAGATCAGAGCAAAGGTGTGCAATGAGTCATGTTCCACACAGCACAGACACGAAACATGGTAACATGCTTAATTGTTGATTAATTAAAAAAATCCTAGCCAGTTGTGGAGGCATCAGTCCACATGCAATCGATGTAACTGGTTTTCATTAACATTTGGTCAAAGAATGGCCAGATAAAGATGTTTAAATGTCTGTTAAATGCTGCCATTTGAATCAGAAAGTGTAGAAGATGTTTTGCATCCACAGGAGCTTTCTGCTACTTGTGCATGTAAACACTGATCCTATCTTATGCATGAGGAAGGGGCTCCCTTTCACCGAGTCTCAGCCCTAAATTCCAGTCTGTATCTCCATGCAGTGCTCAGTGATGCGCAGGGAGCGCACACACACACACACACACACACACACACACACACACACACACACACACACACACACACACACACACACATCCATATTTTTACCCGCTTACTTACTTAGAAATATAAACTCACAAATACTGAAGAGATGTACATGCACACATATGTATATGTAAACCAACAGAGACACACGTATACAGGGAACTGAGAGACTGGCTGATGGCCTTGATGACCTGTGGACCTTATGTGACAAACACAATAAGAAGGGCACGATTTACGTCAGCGGCTTGTGAATGGTTCACTAAAGACCCTCAAATGCACACACAAACACACATTGTGTATGTCCTGCTCTGTTACTGAAGGATTTTCAAACAGTCCTGCTAAGCAAGGCAATTTTATTTTGTAGAAGCTTTCCTGGAGCACTTGTTCTGTATGGAGTGATGTGTCAGAGTCTAATGGCGCTTTTCCACTGCAGGACCGAGCACGGCTTAGTACGGTATGGTTAGGCCTTGGTAGGCCAGGCTCACTTTATGCAGCGTTTCCATTACAGTTTACCAACTGGGGTAGTAACTATAGTAACGCAGTGTAGGCGGGGCGATCGGCTGTTCGGCGGGCCAGACCGGCAAACTACTCCTCAAGACAGCGGGATGAGTCTAAACCACACAGGGCGGAGGCAGCACAGAAATGCCGGCAACGGCTGTGGAAAGCGGCGCTAAGTTTGTATAACTTAGACCTTACCTCTAGCCTAGCTAGTCCGATATCGATTTGCAAAAATATCCACGAGGCTGGCCAGGTGGGTGGGGTGTTGTGCCGCATGTTTGTATTTATTTGGTCGGCTGACATAAGCGCGTACTGTGTTCTGTCAGACACTCAAACATGAACAAATTGAAACAGATCAAGAGACTTGTCTATACTCCTCGACACTCGAGACTCACGATTATCGATTGCCGACTACAAAACTTTTCTTCTGTACTGTCATCTCTCAGTGTCGTCAAAATCGTC